AAAAAAAAAAAAAAAAAAAAAAAAAAGCCATGATTATGATGCTTATTACACTAATTAAAATTGAGATAATATTTAACAGATCGGCCCTTTTCCTTCTCCGGAATACTCCGCATTTTGTAAGAAATATAAAAAATATAACTCTATGTCTAAGGAAACGAAATGACCCTCGTTTAAGGCACACTGCAACACACTGACACAGTACACAGCCCTGTCACAGCATCAACAGCAGACACTTCTGTCAAGTTGTTTTTAATGAAATTTTAAATTAAATTTTACTTTTAGAAAAAAACGTAATGGCTGCAGTAAACTTTACAGATTATGATATTTTAGGTTTTGATATGGATTTCACTTTAGCCCGATACAAACTTGTTCCTTTTTTCAATGTAAGTCGTAAGAAGAGTAGGCAGAGTGAGTCTGTTGACAAATTAATAAACTTAAATGATCTGTTGCAATACTAGCAATACTAATACTCTACTGAGTCATACTCAGTTTTGAGAAGTAAGGCATGTTATTTATTATTATCGATTATTCTCGACATCATTGATGGAAAAAATTTAAAATTATTATTAGTAGGCAATTTAGTAATGAGTAATGCCAAATTAAAACTAATAGGCCTAACAATCAGTCAAAAATTAAGTGCATGTAGCATTGACATCAATTAGGCCTACTTAAGGTAACATTAATATTGACTATATTTTATTAGTACTAAAAGTGAAAGAAAAGACCAACAATATAACAACTCAACTTCTACAAAAGATTGAAAGATGATCTTGGCTGCATTTGGGTGTTTTTTGAAAGCCTATTAATTAGCCTTTCAAAATAGTGTGCTTTTGATTTTTTTAGGGATTTGACCATTTTTACAAATTTCCTCACTGAAATCTAATTTTTTTTTTTCAATATTCCTTTTTTAAGATGGTCTATGATGGAATCTGTCGTTTTTTGGTGGAGGAAAAACATTACGATGCATCTATTTTCCACGATCTTCATGAAGACAAAGACTTAATGTAAGAGGATTACCTCTTTGCTGTATCCTTTATCCTATCCCTTAGGGGTCATCCATAAAAGACGTCCACACAAAAGGGGGGAGGGGGGATTCAGCAAAAAGTGGACAAAGGGGGGGAGGGGGTTTAGGACAAAGTGGATGTCCACATTGTAGTGTTTTTTGAGTGCAGCAGTTTTGCATAAATTTACTGCCCGATCACAGTTACAGTAGCATGCCTTTTGATCTCTATTGTCCATCGGTGGCTGGAAGAATTTCCAAGAGAATATGTTTCTGCGGTAAATATTTCCCATCACAGGCGGCAATGAAAAAACATAAGGTCGTCCATTGCAATATTCCTGCTAGTGAACATAATATGGCAGACGAATCAGACGAAGAGACTGCCACTCAAATTGAATTAGCAATTGAAGACTCAAGAACAGATGTTGTCATTATACGAAACATGTTTGAATGGCTGCAGTCCGAATTTTCCGTTGATTGAAGAATGGTGGATTATTTGTTTATTACATTTTTTAATACAGTGATTCAATAAAATGTTTTTGAACAGTTATTATTTCATTTAGAATTTTGCCTGCAAATAATTGGAATTTCTAAAAAAAATCTTTGTAAATACATACTCTTTATATTGTTGTACATTTTCCCAAAATATTCATTAATTTAAGTTCGGTAA